ATCCGTCGCCCATTGAACCCTAAACGCTAAACCCTAAAACCCTAAATCCCAAGCCCTAAAACCCTATAGACCCTAAACCCTCAACCCTAAAACCCTAAAGCCCTGAACCCTAAAACCCTATAGACCCTAAAGCCCAAAAGCCCATCGCCCACTGGGAACCCCAGGGTTCCTCGCCGCCTCCGTTGACCGAGCCCTTCGAGAAGATGACACCAGAGGCGCTATTGGAGGGGGTATAGGTAGTATAGGGTTTAGGGGGTATGGTTGTTATAGTATAGGGTTTAGGGTTTATAGGGTTTAGGGTTTAGGGGCTTATAAGCCGTTGGGAGGTATGGTTGGCATAGGGTTTAGGGTTTATAAGCCGTTGGGGGGTATGGCTGGTATAGTATACGGTTCAGGGCTTATAAGCCGTTGAGAGGTATGGTTGGTACAGGGTTTAGGGTTTTTAAGCCATTGAGAGGTATGGTTGGTATAGTATGGGTTTTCAGTCTGCAGCTCAGTACCTGACGACGGCTTCGCTTGTCCTCAGACACCCCCACACACAGGAGCGACCCGTTGAAAGACCCGAAGCCATGATTCCTTGAGCGTTCTGAGCAGCTGGGCTTGGCCACTGAAGGAGAAAATGGCTGTGGAGCTGAACACCACGGACCCTCAGTGAGCAGAGCCGGTTTGGTCTGTCAGTTCTCGAGGCACAATAGTAAGCCGTATAAGGCGCCGGAGGCACAAGAGTAGTAGTCGTCTTCGTCGTAGTAGTAGCAGTAGTAGTAGCAGTAGTAAGTAGTACTAGTACTAGTAGTAATTAGTGGTGGTGGTAGTAGTAGTAGTAGTAGCCGTCGTCGTCGTCGTCGTAGTCGTAGTCGTAGTCGTAGTAGCAGTAGTAGTCACATAAGGGACATTGGCGGTGCATTGAAGCTTCAATTCAATGCAAGGTCGCCATGGCGGATCATGTCAGACACGTGCTGTACCAAATAAACCCAAGCACCATCACACACCTGAGTTCAGAAGTCTTGCAGCAAGTCTCAGCATTTGCCCTCATACAAGTATATGCAAAAGAAATCAAAAGAAGCTAATGCCACGAGGACTTGTATCTGTTTGTTCTACCTTGACATGTTTTCAGGCGACGTAGCGAATGAATATGCCGGGTCTCCGTACTGCAGACCTCAGAATGCCATCTTGACAACTGGGTGTTCAGGATACCTTCACATTCCTTTTCTGGACAAACCGATCGGACTTCCTGCGTCACTTGGCTCAGCCTAGGGTTTTGGAGCCCGATTGGGGTTCAGTTTTTAGGGCTCGCCAAAAGAATTCTTCAACCCCGGCCTCATAAGTTCTGTAAACCTTACCAGCGCTACCTAGGCCCTCAATTGTAGTTGGCTCCTGCTGGCCGTGCTACTTTTGAATTGCACCCTTTCCACAAGCGACGTTATCAGGAGATTTTGCAAGTCAGGGTCTAGGTAGACCTCCTTCCATGAAGCTATGAATCCTCTGTAGCCTGGGTTGAACTTCTGGGAGCCCATGATTGTCGGAAGCGGGTCCGGGTACAGGGTGGTGGAATTGGTGCTGCTCTTGTTTATTCATGGTATGGGGTTTCACAGATCTTAACTGTTACGAAAGCTTTTGTTGCTGATGTTCTGATTGCTACTCTTGCCAGGCAGGTGTTTTGACCGTCACTGTGGTTGCTCTTATTATCCTAACTATCACTAGTTTTGCTGGTTTGTTCATTCTGTGGAGGTGTGGCCTCCCTAGCTTACCGGTTGCTACAACCAACACAACATGACCCCTGGCAGCTGAGGATGGGAGCTCGTGAATCTTCCACTAGGCCGGGCCTTCTCCGAGTGTTTGGCCGATGGGTGGCGCCTAAGTTCGGTGCCTGAAGAATTAGGCCAGGGCTCCTCTTAAAGGATTCTGTACTGGGTTCCTCTTAAGGATTCTGTAACGGGCTCCTCTGAGGGTTCCTTCGGGATTTAGGGTTGAAGGTTTAGGGTTTGGAGTTTGGGGTTTAGGGTTTAACTAGGTTTGATCCCGGCTCAGTTTCAGGATTCTGTAGTAGGATCCAGCAAGGGGCTCCTGCAGGATTTAGGGTGAAGGGCCTTGGGGTAGATAGGTAGTATCCTTTAGGATTTTGCAGTGGGTTCCCTCAGGGGTTGCAGAAAGGTTGCTGTCAGCCGAAGAAGTGATGGTAATATGGAAGCCTACATAATTACCTCTTTTTTTGGTTCCTTCGGGCTCCCTTATCACAAGAAAACTGTAAAGGAGCCCAAAAAACCTTGTTCTAATGATTAAGGCCCCTACAGTAAGCCGATCTAGAAGGCCTGAAAAGGCATCTTCAGAGGTCCCTAAAGATTCTGTAAGTTTTTTTTGTTTTTATGTGGGTCCGAATACTTGTGCCATTCCGTAAGGGTTTAAGGTTTTGGGGTTTAGGGGAATACTTGTACTATTCCATCTGCTTCTTTCCTATGATTATACCATCATGGGCCCCATTCCAAGTATAAGGCGCCTGCATCAGTCAGTAGGCTGGCAAGAGCTTAGGGTAAAGGATTTTAAGTTTATGCCTTACTGTGTTGTGATCGGGGTTTCTGAGGTCCTCTGGCCTACTGGCCATTTCTGGAGTTCGAGGCTGCTGGAAGTGCTTAGTAAGTACAGCTCCATTAACAGCTTAGCTGTTCACCTAACGCGGATTGCCCCCCCCCCATTCACATACGCTTGTGTAGTTGTTTGTTATTCTTGTGGTTATTCTTATTATTATCATTGCTATTATCCTTAGTAGCATTGGCCTTCGAACCATTATTAGTAGCATTTGGGACTCGAACCATGATCAGTACCATTAACTCGTCGTGCTATTGTTTAGCAGTCATGATTATGATTACCACCTTTTCACCGTTCTTCAAGCTGAGGATGAACGGTTTCGGCCCGAGGCACCGGGCCCAAACCCGGCAGGCCATTGTCGCCGCAGCTCAGAGCTCACATGAAACCCATCTCAGCGACTTCAAGCATGGTCTCTTGTTTTTCCTGCGAATTTGGAGTTCTGAAAGCCTGATGTATGCCTGTCTGTATGTACGTGCATAAATATCTGTACACTTATAGCATGGTACAATTTATGATAGAATAGAATCGACTAAAAAAAGGATACTAATGCAATCTACTGCACAAGATGCGCCGGCAGTCCTAAAAAACGGACTACTAGGGCCGACGCGTCGACGCGGCCATGTCACTGTCTGTGAGGCTTGACGAGGAGCCTGACCCAAAATACACAAGCCTCAAGCCTAAAGAACAGTAAGGTACATTACAGCTTATACTATAAGCTGTTATAAGCCTTATAGTATGTTAAAACTACATCCGAAAGCCTTACCCCTCGAAACCCCGAACACCCTCAGCCCTCCTCTTTTGCAGGTTCGCCCTAGCCATGCGGGAGGCAAAATAGAAACCTGCAAGCACCTCAAGCCCTCCACTCTTAAGACTTATTGTGGCTTTAAGCCCGAAACCCTAAACCTCCCTAAACCCTAAACCCTAACCCTAACCCTCAACCCTAAACCCTAAACACTAACCCTAAACCCTATACTGCAAAGTGGGCTCGTCCTTGCTGAGTAGGAGGGAAAAAACCCTAACCCTAAACCCTAATCCCTAACCCTAAACCTTAAACCCCAAACACGAAACCCTAAACCCTATCAACCCTGAACCCTAATCACTAAACCCTAAACCCTAACCCTGAACCCTAAGCCCTAATCCCTAACCCTGAACCCTAAGCCCTAATCCCTAACCCTAAACCCTAATCCCTAACCCTAAACCCTAACCCCAAACCCTAATCCCTAATCCCGAACCCTAAACCCTAATCCCGAACCCTAAGCCCTAAGCCCTAACCCTAAACCCTAATCCCTAACCCTAAGCCCTAATCCTAACCCTGAACCCTAAACCCTAAGCCCTAATCCCTAACCCTAAACCCTAATCCCTAACCCTAAACCCTAATCCCGAACTCTAAAGCCTAAACCCTAATCCCTAACCCTAAACCCTAACCCCTAACCCTAAACCCTAATCCCTAACCCTAAACCCTAACCCCTAACCCTAAACCCTAAACCCTAAACCCTATCAGGAGCCGCCTGTGGTGCCGCAGCGTGCGCCGGAGTTTGTGCGGACAGTGTCTGGTGGCGAGCCGACGGGCGAGAGCTCCTGTCGCTGGGTTCCTGTTACTTAGGGGGCGTGAACCTTTTTTTTTTGGGCTCTTACTTATATATATATATAATCTATATATATATATATATAATCTCCGAGCTATAATTGAAAAGGTTAACATAGGTTAACCCGTTTTGGGGGGGCTCTTATAAAATCCGACCTTATTTGGCCCCTTAGGATTTGGAGGTTGGAGGGTTTGGGCTCCTGTTATGGAGGCTTTCTATTTCGGGTGTATAAACACGGTGCGGGTTGCCTTTGAATTTGTGTTTTTTGCTAGTAAACTTCTTTCAGCCGGGCTTCCGTAGGGTTTTGTTGATTGCTGCTGCACATGGGTCTTGTTTCCTAGGTAGCACTAGGGAGACCCCTTAAAGGGGACC